GCAAGCTGTATTTTGACCCACCAGTTGATGATAAAAATTGGAAAGGTCCCTTCACTAATGGGACCTGGGCTCTAAAGGGGCATTACTGGATTTGTGGCCAAAATGCTTACCGCAGGCTATCTCCAAACTGGTCAGGAATATGTTATGTGGGGTATATTAGACCATTGTTCTTTCTGCTACCACAAGTTCAAGGAAATCAGTTAAGAATCAAAGTATATGATGATCTAATTAGAGAGAAGCGGTCCATTGATACATCCCTGGTTGGAAGGAGCACCCAAAAGTGGGGAAAAGATGAATGGCCACCTGAACAAATCATACAACACTATGGACCAGCTACCTGGAACCCAAATGAATTAATATCAGGTGCCAGAGAACCCATTCATAATCTAAATCGAATAATTAGGTTGCAAGCTGTCTTTGAAATGATAATCAACCAGACAGCTACAGCTCTTGACCTTCTTGCTGACCAGTATACTAAGATGAGAAATGCAGTATTTCAACATCGGATAGTATTAGACTATTTATTAGCAGATAACGGGGTGGGGGGGGGTGTAGAAAATTTAATGACTCAAACTGCTGTTTGCAAATAAATGACAATAGAAAAGTGGTAAAACAAATAACAAAAGGAATAAAAAAGTTAGCCCATGTACCGGTCCAAACATGGAAAGGATGGGAATGGGACATGTTTTCATAGTTACCTGGTAGCCTATAAGTCAAACAAATGCTTTTTTCCTCTTATGTGTTGTAGCAACTCTAATCTTTTTACCATGCATGATCCCTTGCTTAATACAACTCATTCAACATGTGATCAAAGGAATGCAGGTAGTAGCCGTGCCTACTGATCCAGAGATAGCTACAAAAAAGCAGAAAGTAATGCCACTGCAAATAATTGCAAAGCCAAAAAAGAGCCAAGAACAAGAAATTAGGTCAATGATAACTAAAGTTTGTAAAGACAATTATTAACAGAAATTAAAAGAGGAGGGATTGAGAGGAATGATGAGCTTGTCTTTACAAACAAGCTGTGGGTCAGTTGATAAGATGTAGCTATCAGTGAGAGACAACAGAAACAATGGGATGGATTCCAGTAGAAGATCAAAGAGACACTGAAAGAACACTATGAATTCCATAAAAGTTAAGAAGGGATTATGCATTGGGGGTGGGGGGGGAAGGTATCACCGCCGGTATCAGGCGTTCCGGGAAGCCTGTACCTCTCAAGTACCTCAGCCTATGGGGAAAGGGAGAAGGGACAAGTGGCCGGGAATTAGGATAAAAAAGGAGGCTGCGCCCTCCAAAAATTTGAGAGACCCCAGGGGAATGCCCCATGGCCTCTCCCTTTATTCGAATAAAGTAAAAGGACTCCTCTGTCTCCTTTTTGGACATAAACCTCTGGTGTTTGTGGATTAATTTTCCTGACAAGTATCTTCAGCATGGGTAAGTCTGATTAAAATAACACACAGTTCCAAGCTGATTCTAGTTTTATTAGAATACCACATAACGTAAAATTCACAATTTACGACACTTAAGGGTCAAAATCTTGCTCTATTCCAAAACCTCTAAGATGTGAAGAAAAACCCAACAGGTTGTTCTAACCCAACATCTTCAGAATGTTACTTTGAAAACGTTAGCAAAGTAGAATTTAATTTAAAGCATTTAAGAGCTGAGACATGCAATGTGAAAAGCTGAATTACAGAAGAAACATTGCAACCCAATATTCATACTACAAATCTACCTTTCCGCAACAATTAGTACTTCCAGGTCAGTTTTTTCCACCAAAAAGATGTTGTAGTGGTGAAAAGATGCTGGGGAAACAATAACAACAAAAAAAAAGCACATTAGACTTCTCTGAAAATCATGAAAAAGCTAATTTCTGTCCAATAGAAAGACACAATGCCAGTACAAAACAATACAAAGGGAAACTGAAAAAACAGAGGAAACAATAACTTGTGCACTAATGGTCTGGAAACAATAACTTGTGCACTAATGGTCTGGTCTCAGTCATTAAAGGAATGGCACACATTACAATTAACAAGGAGTTTTATTTTTTAAAACACTAACAAAAACCAGCAGCTGCCAATATCCAGCTGCTGCTGTGCAGTGATGGACAGCACTCACAGGATCCAGCCTCAGCAGCATGAAATAACTCCTTTAGGCAAACAGCAGGTGTCTGCACAGTGACACTGATTTCCATTTGAAATGGTGACTTTGGGAGTCAGAGTTACAAAGTCCAGATTTGCTCAGTGGCCAAATAAAGGTCACATGAAGCTTAATGGGGCTGAAGGTCCATCTGGGAAGACCCTTTTAGCTGGCACTTCTCAGCTGAGGAAAGCCACTTTGTATAAGGGCTGAGATGGAGATTCAGTGACTCTCTTATCAGGAGTTTTTCCTAAAGACAGTTCAGAAGAGGAACATTTAGTGGGAATGCTGCCCCTTAGCACAAGATAAAACAACATCCCTTTCTTTGCCTTGGGGGACTTTGGTTCCATTACAGAAAAGATGTCTCCATTTTTCAAAATGATGGAAAACAACCTGGCACTGCCAACCTTTGACATAGGCTTGGACAGCGCCAGGATTGCCTCTGCTCATCAGTGCAGGATTAGTACCTTCTCCAGAACTGTGAAAGACCTCTTCCCTCTGACTTTGTGCTTCCTTTCTTTCCTGTTTGCTCCATTTGCTGCAGCAGCTGCACTGCACCCTCAGCCTGACTGGCTACTCTTTTTTGTTCAGGAGCAAATTCCACAGGTTCCCCTGTAAGAAACAGCAGCAAGAACAAAACCACAACCTCACGCTCTACACACTTCCTGTGCACCCAGGGGAATGAAAACTCAGTGGAATCCAGGAATTCCTTACTCACAGCAACTCAGTTGGTCACAGTCTTTAGTAAGGGATGCTGGGTTAAACTCAAGCTCATTTACTTTGGAGGAATTCTAAAAGGAAAAGAAACCCAAGAACTGTTACATAATGCTAAATTCTATTGTACAGAAATTTTTGTTGGTTTGCTTCCTGAAAGTATTAAAAAGCAAGCTCTACACTCCTTGTTGTGTGGTTTCATTTGGGGATTTTTTTCTGCTATGATGAGGACTTTCTTCACTAAGGTATTTTTACACCTCCCTCATCAGGACATAACAAGATGTAATTCATTTAGAAGACTTTAGCATAGCAGACAGTGAACTAATAGTAGCTATGGAATAAGCAGAGATTTCAAAAAACATGAAGAGCTGTGGGAAATGCCAGTCCCTGGACAGTGCAGGCCCTTGGGCACTAGCCCTCCTAAGACATAGTCCTGGGATATAGACTTAACTCACAAGGGACAAAAATGAAAAGTGCCAGAAGCAAGAGGTGGGCCAGGGA